GTTTCAGAATCTGAGCAGTTACGTCCTGAGGAAAAGAACCTCTCATTTGTTCAAGGCACAGCTAATGGAGCATGACTTGTTAGCCTAATTTTTAAAAAGATTTATTTTTATTTATTTAAAAGAGAGAGAGAGAGAGAGGTCTTCCATCCACTGATTCACTCCCTAATTGGCCGCAATGGCCGGAGCTGAGCTGATCAGAGACCAGGAGCCAGGAGCTTCTTCCGGGTCTCCCATGCAGGTGCAGGGACCCAAGGACTTGGGCCGTCTTCCACTGCTTTCCCAGGCCATAGCAGAGAGCTGGATCAGAAGAGGAGCAGCCAGGACTAGAACCGGCGTCCATGTGGGATGCCGGCACTTAGGCTGGGGCTTTAACCCGCTGTGCCACAGCGCCAGCCCCAGCCTACTTTTTTCATGGAGGAGAGTCAGAACCTTGGGGCAGCAGATTCAGCATAGACCTCGCCTCGCCTGTGCTTTCTAGACATGCTGTGGGTTAATTCCGATGACGGCTCTCTGCTGTGATTTAATTCAAACGAGAGCCTGCAACGCAGTGCATAATTACCATTCCGGTCGCATCTGCCCCTAAAATCGGGCCATATGCAAGTCTCTCTCCTATTCTTTCTCCTTCAGAATCACAAGGTAACAGACTGAGAGAGGATGATTTCAAACAGCGAAGGCGCTGCTGCTTCACGTCTGCAGGCTACAGTGTGGATTGTGAGTGCCTCCGTGCAGGGAGCCTGGACTGGGCAGCCACAGAAGGGACAGAGCTGTGTGGGGCTAACATGGCACCAGACCTCCAAGCCACCGAGACAGACACGGGGGAGCGAGGCCCGTCTCGTGCCTCTGGTGGGACGGAACCAGTGCATCCAGGCAGCCCCAGCACTTGAGCGTCCCCGGGGTCCCCAGAGGTCAGACTTCCCGTCGTAGGGGGCTGATGGTGCTTTGGAGTCTGGAAACAGGAAGATGAAGTAGCAGAACCGATTGAAGGTCCCAGGGCACAGGCGGTATCCGAGTAAAGCAGTATACAGGGCGTGGACAGGGCTTTCTCCACGCTGTCTGCACGTCAACGGCACCTGATGGCGACATCAGAGGGTCCCCAAGAAAAGAAACATGAAACAGGCAAAGCCCGAGTGCACCTGCCATTCCCTGGTGACCGCCCCACCCCCCACGGGTCCGCAGTCACCTCTCAAACCGGCCAGCACCACCGGGCACCAAGTGCACCACTCCCCTGATGCCGTACCCTGAGAGCTGCCTCCTCGCTCACAGAGAGACCAATGAAAGGGAAAAAAAAGCAGACTTCTGTCCGTGAGTGCTATGCGTGTGTGTGAGTGAGTGTGAGAGACACAATGAGAAAGCACCTGAATGAGAAAAGTAGAAATTGGAGGCTGCAGCGAACCTGCAGCACAGGGCACACACTCTGCACTGTGTGGCTGCCAGAATTCTGCAAGGGGAACCATTGTCCCTTGGGAATTATGTGCGGCTGGGGTGGCCCTCGGGTTCCACAGCCACGCCCAGTGAACACGTGGCTGATAACACCATATGAGAGGCAGCATTGCTGAGTTTGTTGTTGCGGGGTTTTTTATTTTGTTTGGTGTTGGATTTTTTGAAATCTCAGACGCTGGGACCCAGCCACAAGATGTTTGTTATCATCTTCTAGACACAGCTCCCAGAAAGCTCCACTCAGGAGGGAAAATGTCGATGTGCGAGGCAGGGTGGCGAGCAGCAGACACACAGACAGGGTGGGAGAGGACAGGGCAGGGCAGGCTCTGCACGCAGCCTCGTTGCCCAGCTGCCCTTACTGTGTGTTGTCAGACAAGTCGTCAAGACAGATTAAAATGCAATGCCGAGTGATTCCCACCTCGCGGCCGCTGGTGCCTGCGAACAGTGGCGGGCTTGGATGGATGTCAGCTGATGGCACTTGGGCTCTTGGAGTCAGAGTCCTGGCGGCCAAGGCTCAGGGCTGTGTGAGGAAGGACGCGGCTCCCTGATCCCTTTCTGCCTCGGCAGTGCCTGAACATCGCGATGGAACGGGAACCAGAAACCAAACCAGGACGCGATGGTGCGATGACCCATGGTTGTTGACGGGGACCAAAGCATAAAACAGGATTCCTTTGCACCCAGGGCGTTGGCCAGGTGGCTTCTGTTTCCAGGGGAAGGGGAGGGGGAGTGGCTGCATTGCTGGGGTGTTGCGTCTGCGCCCTTCTGGCTGGGAAGCAGGCACTGTGGGACTCCCCGGGTGGAGCTGCGTGGTCTCCCGGCCCCACCTGTCGCTGCCTCCACCGTGCACCCAGTGCAGGGTCGTTCTGAGAATGGGGTAAACACAGAAGCACCAGCAGAACCCTCTGCCCCAGGGGCTCTGGTCCTCACCCTCCTCATAGCTTCCCTATGCATAGCACTCATTGCTCTTGTCCTGTTATGTTTTTAAAAGATTTATTAATTTATTTGAAAGAGTTATGCACAGAGAGAGGAGAGACAGAGAGAGAGGTCTTCCATCCGCTGGTTCACTCCCCAATTTGCCTCAATGGCCGGAGCTGCACTGCTCTGAAGCCAGGAGCCAGGAGCTTCTTCCAGGTCTTCTTCGCAGGTGCAGGGGCCCAAGGACCTATGGCATCTTCTACTGCTTTTGTCAGGCCATAGCAGAGAACCAGATGTGAAGTGGAACAGCCAGGACTTGAACTGGCACCCATATGGGATGCCGGCACTGCAGGTGGTAGCTTACCCGCTACGTCACAGTGCCGGCCCCCGTTGTCCTATTTTTAAGCTTGATGAGAGGGATTTCCCTTCTGCTTATTGTCTGTCCACTGGGAATGGGAACTTTAGCTGAAATTCCTGCCTGAGTTCATGGTTGTGTAGCCACCTGTGAGCACTTCTGTCCAGTATTCATCACGGACAGGGTCCCAGAGGTCACAACCTGCTGACTCCACTGCAATTCTTATGTGGGTTTTGTGGATTTGTATTGAGGCGGAGAGTGATTGAGCGTCTGTCTACCAGACCACTCCCCAAATGCCCATGATGGCAGGGGCTGCCTGGGGTTGAAGCCGGAGCCAGAAGGGTGGGAACTCCATTCAGCTCTTCCACCTGAGTGGCAGGAACCCAAGGATTTGAGCCATCAGCTGCTGCCTCTCGGGGGCTGCATTAGCAGGGAGCCAGAGCCGGGAGTTAAACCCAGGTCTTCTGATGTGGGACACGGGTCTCTCCACCATCAGGACAAAGACCCGCTCCTGTGTGCTGATGTATTGGGTCCCTGGTCACCCAGTGTTGTAGCATGAACTGCACCTTTGTTAGACATCGAATCAGAAATTCTTGGGAATGTGTGGGACATGGAAATCCAAACGGCAAATGGAATAAAGCTGTGGTGTGCTGAACTCTGCTGTTCCCGTCTGTGCCCTGTGCCGGTCCCTTGCCTGGGCAGATCTGCATAAAGATGCTAGGATCTAGGTATTGTCCCATTCTACCCACGAGGAGACCTAGCCCACTGGCTCGCTCAAGACCTCACACAGCTCCAGGTGACTCAGCAAGGAGCCCAGAGTGACAGGTCTGCCTGAGACAAAGTTACCACTCTCTCACCAAAGCCTGAGCTGGCGGTTTCCAACCCTAAGTGAAGAGCTGAGCCTCATTGTTGAAAGAATAGCTCACCGAGAAAGGAAGTAGTACTTGTTATTGCGCACTGGTGTCTGATTCTCTTCTAAAACTTGTAACCTTGTACCCTTGGGTCAGTCATTAACGTCAAGGCAGGCACTGTGGCGAAGCAGGTGAAGGCACTGTGTGCAATGCCTTCATCCCATACCAGAGTCCCAGCTACTCCACTTTCCATCAGCTTCCTGCTAAGGCATATTCTAGGAGGCAGCCAGTGATGGCTCTAGTACTTGGGTCCTGCCAGCCACATGGGAGACCCAGAGCTTCCAGCTCCTGGCTTCAACAAGATGGCCTAGCCTTGGGCATTGGCTGGCATTTGGGAAGTGAACTGGAAGATGAGACACCTCCCTCTCTCTCTCCCTCCCTCTCCCTCCCTCCCTCTCTCTCTCTCTCTCTCTTCCTCCTCCCTCCCTCCCTCTCCCTCCCTCCCTCTCTCTTCCTCCTCCCTCCCTCTCTTCCTCCTCCCTCCCTCTCTCCCTCTCTCCCTCTCTCTTCCTCTCTCCCTCCCTCCCTCCCTCTCTCTTTCTTGTGCACTTGCACCTGCCCTTTCAAGTAAATATTTGTTAAAAAGAAATGCATTGGATTTCTAGAAAACAGTAGTCTCAAAGCATACAACTTGATTTCTGAGAGCTGAGCCCACTCAGCCAAGGACCGCTTCACAGTTAGAAATGGCACCCTTTGGCATCAGAGACAGCATTGAGGTTTTTGAATTCCTACATAATTGGAAAGGTCCGCATGGCTGCCAGTCGCAGGCTTTTCAGAACTACAGTGCGAAGGAGGTGCATCTAAATAGAGCAGGAAGAAGAGTGGCAGGGGCAGGGCTGTCTCCTGCATCGGGGGAATTAGCAAGTGCACGAGAGAGCAGGCGACCTGCCAGCCAGCGAGAAGAGGGAGGTGGCACTTGCTGAGGGTGCCTGGGGGCTGGAGAGCGGCTGGTGACAAAGTTACAGCTCTTCCACTGTGGCGGAGGCTGTGTCTCCGTCACCCGTAAGTGGGAGCAGTTGACACTAACTTCCCAGGGTTATGCCGCAAGGCTGGGAGAGGAGGTGTGGGAGCACCTGCCTGAGTAAGGCAGCAGAAGCATCCCAGAAACCATCCGCTCAGCCAGGTGTCGCTGTGTCTGCTGGGCAGACCCGCACTCAGCCACCACTGGCTTGGCATGGTGTGTGTGCGATAGCAAGCCAACCCTGCTGGCATCCGGAGGGAGAACGGGGTAGGAGTTTCTGTGCTGGGGAGGTGAACATGAAGGCTTCACCCGCACCTTGCACAGCTGAATCTGTGAGATCTGCCTTGTCGGGCGAGAGAACTGCAGGACGTCAGGATCGGGAGATGCTTCAATGTCAATATCAAAGAAAAATCTCTGGCAGGACACCAAGTGAGAGCCGAGTGCCTGCGTCAGCACATTTTGCTTCCTGGGGACTCCTGTCCGGAGCAGAAACACCAGAGTCACTGGAGGAATCTGTGCCTGGCCCCGCCCTCTCCCAAGCACAGGTAGGCAGGTGGCATCTGCTCGCCAGGGCCTGGCCCCCAGGGCACAGGAGCGGAGGGAGGAGGCCAGGAGGGGCATCGCTCGCTCCAAAAAAATGGCCCAGGTTTGCTGCTGTCAAACAGGTGTGGAAAATGGAATCAAACCTTTATTGTGGTGCAAAAAGAAACTGAAATCCTCAAATATGTGGGGTCTTCAACAGGTTCTTGGAAGATGCATATTGTGAAAAAGCTATGGCTGGATTTCAAAATTCTATTGCAGCCAAATAAGCAGCTTTTAATTCCGTTTAAGTTGCTTGAAATTTTTTTTTCAAATTTTTTTTCAATTTTTTTTTCAAAATTTTTTTGAAAACCTGAGGACTGCATGTAAGAATAAACCCTAAGGATATTTGGCCAAGGAGGATGGGCGTAGGGAGATGGTGGATTCAAGGTGTCCGCTGCAAGTGGCTCTGAGACATCGGCTGGCTGGCTGGGCGCCCTGCACGCCTGCTTTCCCACTCCGGCCCCACTTAGAAATACAACAGTGAGGGGAGCCCCCACCCCCACCTTGCACAGATCGGCAGGGACACTGCCACGGGGGAGGGGAGGGCAGAGCCCGCCACGGCCCTGCCAGGCCCAAGGTCGGCATCGTTCTCCTGTGGGCACTCGAATTGTCTCAGTACAGCTGTCCAGCTCCTCTCGCCGCACCCCTTGTGTCATTTTCCTTCTATGATCTTGTTGTTCTGACTCTAAACACCATGTATGCTGTCCCGGCCGTGCACCAACTGATGCCTCTACTGGGACCCTTGTCAGTTTGGTCCTGGAGAAATCTGCTTCCCACGTGTCATGCCTTGCGTAACAGCCCCGAGCCCAGGGCATTGTTACATGCATGTGGCTCGCATGTGCATTGTTAGACGTATGTTGCTCTTGTGTGCGGCTCCTCTGGGGCCCTCCATGGCCATCTGTGAGTTCATTTCCGTGGCATTGGAGCACCTGTGAGTGAGGTGCTATGGCTCCAGGGACCGGGAATACGCACCAAGCCCAAGAGCCCGGCACACTGAGCCTTCTTGTCCCTTTCAGCAAATGAAAACTTTGATCCGATCTGGGCCCGTCCTGCTGACCTTTCCCCAGGGACCCAGGGTATCTCTGTGGGACACCCTCAGACCTGCTGGAGGGCAGTGAGCTCCCCTGAAGGCCCCGCCCCCGCCCAGTGGATGCTGGGAAGGAGCTGCCTTGCTCTGCTTTGCTGTGCTGGTCTGAACCCATTATAGGAGTAAAGGAAATGTAAAAGCATCAACTGTGACCCAAAGATGGCTCCCAAGGGAAGTTCCAGATGTTTTTAAAATACACGTGGGCCCTGCCAACCTGTGAATTCCACAGAGGTTCAGAGAAGGCCCCAGAAGAGTTGACTTTAAGCTCCACCACCTCAGTTTCCCGATCTGCAAAATGAGGGCAACACTGTGCCGTGTTCCTCACCTCCTCACACCCCCTTCAAGGACGGGGGACCCGAGGTCACGGTATCTGCAGTTGAACACATGAGCTTTGCTGAGGCGCTTCCATGCACAGCCCCTCCCGGAACCTGGGGACGAGAAGAGCGAGGGCAGCGAGGCGGTGGGCTCAGCGCTGTGTCTGAAGGGCCTTGGGCCAGCTTCTTTCTTTCTAGCAAGGTGGCATGGGGGTGGGCCGGGCCGTGCAGCCTGAGAGCCTCACAGCCCTCACACAGGAAGCTCTTCATCCTCTCCGTGCGTCTCCTTAAAGGCCCCCACAGCCCTGCTTGGAGAGAGCAAAGAGGCACTTGAGAGGTGCGGGGATAATGTCACTTGGTCAAAGCACTTGCAAGATGCCAGCAGCAAGTGCCCTTGCCAGCTGCCACACCCTCCCTCCCCTCAGCCACGTGCCCCCTGTAGCTTTTCACCCCAGGGCTAAGCCAGCAGGGCCATGATGAAGTGCACCATATGTGGGCTGTGAAATGCAGCTGCGTTGCCTGATTGCAGAACGACGCCCTGAAGCTAGGGTGGCCGTGAGAGTAACAATTTCTGGAAATTTCTTGCAGAATGAAGAACGAGATGGGACTTCCCGTTTGGCACCCAGATGAGCGTGGGTAGGCCCTGTAGTATGCACAGGTGAGTGGGAAATTTGCATGACAAGTGACTGGGTCCTGAGTTGGTCTGTGCCCATGGCCTTGGACCAGATGCACGATGTCTTATTTGAAGATTCCAGAGGGTTATGACTCCCGCCTTAGCAAAAAAAGAAACCAAGGCATAGGAGGTGGCGCGCAGGGCAGCATCCCGAGGCTGTGAGATGCAGCGGGGTTCAGTGGGGCGTCCAAATGCACTTCGTGCCCCTGCTGCCTGCAGCCCCCTCCTCATTCCCACCCTCCCACGGGGGAAGAGGCCTTTTCTCTTCTGTGTCCCATAAGGTTGTTCAATGCCAAAATAAAATCCCTAGGGTTACCGAAGTGCTGTACCTTGAGCACAGCCTCTGGGCTATCGCAAGACCCCAAGGTGGTCATTTCAGTCGTCTGATTAATTGCACAAAGCTTTTTTGCAGTTGTGTTTCCAAGGCAGCCACATGGGTCTCTTCTCTGCCTGTGTCCACTCACCTCCTGTTGCTCCCTTAGTCCTCTGAGTAAGTCCCTACCCTGGCTCAGGAGCGCCTCCCATCCCCCTCCTGTCCCCAGAGGCACTTAGGAGCTGTGGGGCATGGGCCACAGGTGCAGAGGCATTTACTGCTCCCTTTGGGGCCAGCAGGTAGGTCCTGGGCCTGCTGTAATACTGACATTCTGGAAGATGCAAGTCAGCCATGGTGGCAGGGGGAGAGGGGAGAGCATCGGAAGACACAAGCTAGCCGCTGGGTGGGTGGGGGTGTGGGGGGGTCTCCATCAGGTGCCTGCTCCCAGCCACAGCCAGCAGCATCGGGGTTAAGAACCAGAGAGCAATGTTCATGTGATCACCTGAGGCCGGGGATCTCTCAACTGATGTGAGAGTGAGACCCAAGGGAGTTGTTGCAGGCGTGAGCAGGTGTACACCAGCGTCTCTCTCCCATGGGGCCGCAGGGGGCACACGGCAGTGACTCCTTCCTTCCCAGCCGCCCCGAGTCCGCTGTGGAGGTGGCCTGGTCCGTTCAGAAGCAAGACTGGCCCTGCTACACTGCAGCACCATAGCACATTGAAGGCTTTGCTTCCTCTAAGACTTCATCAGCAGCTGCATTTTTAAAATGAGAATTTCTCGGTAGAAGTCCTGGGGAAGGCGATGTCAGCATGCCACGGCCTTCTCTGTTCTGGCTGGGGGTGGGGTGGGGTCTGAGACTTGTCCAGAAAGTTCCTGGAAAACCCCCGCCCACGGGGGTCCTGGATATGACAGGTGTGGGGTCGTGAGCCTGTAGGTCCTGCTGATGGAGAGAAAACACAGGAGTCTCTTCTGCCTTTATTAATAGGCACCTGTCACACAACAGGTTAGGAAATAATCCTATGTCTGCCCGTGTGCCATAATCCCGGGGCTGTCAGTGCGGCTCCTGCACCCTCCCTGTCTACACAGCAGACGCGCCCCTAAAGCCAAGCGCATGGGAGGCCCCCTAGGGCTTGCGAGGAAGTCACCCCGTCCAGGGCCCTGTGTCAGTAGAAGCCTCCATGTATTGGGTTCCTTAAAGCAAGCTTTTCCTGAACGTGACATGATTCCTAAAATAGCAACCAGCGGCCTTGTTGGGGAGAAGTGAGGCGCTGACAACCCCCCCCCCCGGGAGCTCCTACTGCCTTGAGTCCCACGCACCTCCAAGGAAGCTATGGGGTCTTCCCAGCTGTCACCCCCTAACCCCCCACCCCTCTGCAACAGGCCCAGTTACTGGAATGGCCACAGTAAAAAGGGGGGAGGGCTGGGGAAGAAAATTCAACCACCTTGGAGCATTTTAAAATTCAGTACAGGGCCAGCACCGCGGCTCACTAGGTTAATCCTCCGCCTTGTGGCGCCGGCACACCAGGTTCTAGTCCTGGTCGGGGCGCCGGATTCTGTCCCTGTTACCCCTCTTCCAGGCCATCTCTCTGCTATGGCCCGGGTGTGCAGTGGAGGGTGGCTCAAGTGCTTGGGCCCTGCACCCCATGGGAGACCAGGAGAAGTACCTGGCTCCTGCCTTCGGATCAGCACGGTGCGCCAGCTGCAGCACGCCAGCCGTGGCGGCCATTGGAGAGTGAACCAACGGCAAAGGAAGACCTTTCTCTCTGTCTCTCTCTCTCTCACTGTCCACTCTGCCTGTCAAAAGAAAAAAAATTCAGTACAGAAGTAGACAAGCAGAATTCTGAGAGCAAGGTCAGAAGTACAGTCGATCTCCTTCCGCTGTAGAAACGGTCACGGCTAAATCCTTTCCAGTAGCTTCTCTGACAGCGAATCAACCACACTACACCATACTGCTCGTGGCGCACGGCTCGGAGCAACCTTTCTTGAACCTCACGGCCATCACTGCCCCTCGCCCCTTCCTCCCAGCAAGCAGTAGTCCCCTACAGCAGTGCACCCAGGGCCACGCCTGGCCGAGATGAGTCCCAGCCGAAGCCACACGGCTGCTCCACCACGAGACTGGTCCTGCAGGGAGAAACGCGATGGGGAGTGAAGGCTGCCTGTCATCCAGGGAGCACAGTGCAGAGGCGTGTGCCCTGTGCGAGGTGAGCACAGCTCTCCACTCATGATGGATGGACGGTCCTCTTGGCACGAATCCTCGCCATGGCAACAGAGTGGGCGTGGCCTGGGCTGCCAGGGCCAGTTTCCCCGATAGCTTGATTCCATCCTGCTTTAATTAGCATGAAGTATTGCACGCTGGTTGCATTCAAGAGATGGGCGAGTGAATCACATCACAGCACAGTGGACTTGGGATACAGAGGGGCTCGCTGCTCGCTCAAGTGTGCTGGATGCAGGCGCTTCCTAACCCGTGCAGAAAAGCAGCAGAAGGCCAGCACTGTGTGGAGCATGGCTGTAACGTGGAACACACAGCGCACCGGGAGCTGGTGATCCAGCAGGTCCCCCGTGGACTTAGATGCTCTGCAGAAATGACCCGACAGCACTTGCCACCCAGCCCTGTGGCCCAGGGAGCCAGCACTTCTGGGTCACGGGCTCAGTGCAGCAGCCAAGTTGGACCTGCTGCAGTCTCAGCTCTGTTAGAAGTAAATGACGTGGCCCACAGCAAGCGTTGAGCCTGCTAACAGGGACAGAGTATGTGTTCAGCTAATGGTAGGACTGCATTTATTGGAAGACCTGGCAGGATCCAGGGACAGTAGGAGGAGGAGGGTAGCACTTGGTGACCGAAGGAAGCATACAGCCGTCCCCTAGAGTAGAATAGGCTCACAGAAGCCTTGTCCTGACTCCAGCTCACTTTACGGTTCTGGCCCCAAGGTGATTGTAAAGATGAGGTGCGCATTCAGATCTGTGCACGCATGGCATGGTTTCGGATCTGCACACACACACACCCACCAGTTTCAAAGCCTCTCAAGCCTTATTAGCAGGGTTGACCAAGAGGCCCTGAGCATGTTTGGAGTGAGACATGAGCCCAAGGGGCTAAGGTGTAGCAGCCGTGAGTGCCGTGGGAAGCCAAGCCCTGTGCTGCCAACTCTCCCTCCATGATCCAGGGAATTCCGCATCTCCGCGGGGAGGTGACTCGGAGGCCTGGAGTGGGGGAAGCCCCAATGTCTTGCGGGGACTCCGAGGCCATCACAGCCCTTATCGTGGGCACTGATTAGCCAACATGCCACGCACCTCACTTGGATCTCTGTCACCAATCCTCACTGTAACCCTGCAAAGTAGAAGCACGCCCAATCCCTCACCCCCAACCCTGGGGATTCGAAGAGCCTCAGAAGTATGACAGCCCTTCAAGAAGTTGGCGGGAATGGGCAGGTGTCGTGTCATAGGGGGTTAAGCTGCCACTGGGATGTTTTCACCTCACATGGGAGCCCGGCTTCAGTAATGAGATCTGGCCCCTCTGCTTCCAATCCAGCTCCCTGCCAATGTGTCTGAGAGGCAGAAGATGATGGCTCAAGTAATTGGGCCCCTGCCACCCACATGGGAGGCTCAGAGGGAGGTCCCGGCTCCTGGCCTCAGTCTGGTTCAGCCCTGGCTACTGTGAGTGTTTGGAAAGTGAACTGGCAAATGGAAGAGTTCTCTCTCCTCGCACTGCTCTGCCACCCAACCAGAATGCAATTTATCTTGGTCTAAATTTTCCTAACTCCAGGCATATGAAAGATCTTCAAAAAAGTTCATGGAAAATGTGTATGATGCGAAAACTGCGCATGGAGTTCAAGACTTCTTTGCACCAAAACAAACTTGGCTTGGCATTGCATTTCGCAGGAACAGTCTCAAGGGCCCTTGGGACACAAAGGCAGGCCCTGGAGATCTAATCACAAACCTGTACTTGAGGTCCTGGGGGTCTCCTCCCACCCCACAGAGGCAGCCAGTGACCAGGAATGCAGAGACCAGGGGTGGGTAGGTAGGAGGCAACACAGTTTTCCCCAGAGCTGTGTTTCTGGACTTAGGCCAGCGAGTACAGTTCACATCCGAAGACCCTAAGCGCTGTCAGAAATCCGCCACGGGGGATTTCACCATGCACTGTGCACTGTTGCATAGGAAGCCGCAAATGGCAGTGCATTTGGACCAATTTCCCCGTCTGGGAAATGCTAGCTGACATGGACCCAGTGCCTGGCAGCACCATCCTGAGTGAGTGACATGAGCACTGGGCCCCTCTGAGTCCCACGTCTGCAGATTCAGCCAACCACAGATCAGAAATACTTGGAAAAAAAAAAAGTATAACTGGACTCAGCACATACACTCTTTTTGTGACTGCCTGAGCAGTAACTGTTTGCCTAAGTCATCCAGTGCTGACTTAAAATACACAGGAGGCTGGGCAGATGTGCGTAGCTTATGTAAAACAGTGTAGTATTTGCACGGAAGTGACCTGAACTGAGTATCTGCAGGGTTGGGTGTCTACGGGAGCCCTGGAGCCAATCTCTTGAAGATCCCAAGGGACAACGGTGCCAGAACACTGAATCCCTGTGCGTCGGGTACTGGGGTGATGTCCGTTTAGTGTGACTTTTTTTTTTTTTTTTTTTATTTGAAGGTCAGAATTGCACAGAGAAGAGGCACACAGAGAGAGGTCTTCCATCTGCTGGTCACTTCCCAAATGGCTGCAATGGCCGGAGCTGCGCCAATCTGAAGCCAGGAGCTTCCTCCGGGTCTCCCACGTGGGTGCAGGGGCCTGAAGACTTGGGCCATCCCCTACTGCTTCTCCCAGGCCACAGCTGAGAGCTGGATCAGCAGTGGAGCAGCCGGGTCTTGAACCGGCGCCCACATGGGATGCTGGCGCTTCAGGCCAGGGCATTAACCTGCTGCGCAACAGCACCGGCCCCTAGTGTGGACTTGAACCTGGGCAAATCCAGCTATGGGGCTCAGCCATACTCTTCATCCCAGCAGGCCTCAGACTAGGAGGGCAGCCTGGACACCCGCCAAGGTCACTGCAGGTACGGGCAGTCCTGACAAGTGATGTGACTGATTCTGCTGGAGCGTGCTGTGGTTGTGATTCCTGGGCCTTCCGTTCAGCCCCTTGGAGCCCCAGCCTGTGAAGAGCCCTGGAAGAGAGGTGCTTCACCTGATCTTCCTGTGTAACCCCTTCCTTTAGCATCCTCTGCTCACAGCAGGGTGGGGCTGCCAGAAAGAGTTTGCAGGCACTTTGACACCCTTGTCTGAAAGACCTTGGCATTGGCAGGTGTGCAGATACCGTGGTAGACTTGGAAACCATGTCATGGAAACCAGACATTGTTTTTAAGGAGCCCGTGAGGGCCAGGGTGGGAGCAAGAAGTTGGGAGAAGCCTCGTGCACACTTTCCCGAGCATTGGATTGACCAGACAGGGCTCCAAAGCTGGTACAACAGGATTAGCACAATGGCTTTGTTGGCCATCGGCACAGCGTGACATGAGCTGCAGCAGAGGCATTTGGCAGGATTAACCTGCCAAGGATAAAGATGTAGCAGACAAGGGCCTGAATTAATGGATTGGCATGACCGAAGCACAGAAATCTATTTGCATGTGGTACTAGCTGTGCTAATAAACCCTGGGTTGAGCTCTGGGGGCTAGGCAGTCTGTTTGAACCAGGAAGAGTTTTTTGGTTTTGTTGTTTTAATGTTCATTTGTATTTGAAAGGCTGAGCAACAAGGAAGGGGAGAGAGAGCTGCCATCTGCTGGTTCATTCCCCGAATGCCCGCAACAGCTGGCGCCAGGTGAGGCCAGCCCCATGAGCCCCAGCACTCTGTGAGTCTCTCACATGAGTGACAGGGGCTCAAGCACTTGGGCCATCATCTGCCACCTCCCAGGATGCATCAGCAGGAAGCCGGATGGGAAGCAGAGCAGCCAGGACGTGAGCTGGCCCGCGGACAGGGGATGTGAGTATTCCAAGTGGCCGTTTATCCCACCATGCCACAGTGCCTTCCCCTGGGGAGCTATAACTTTAAAACTCACCAAGAAGGTTTCCACAAAGGGGGGCTGAAGCCAGCAGGCTTTCTTTCGATCTTTGGAACCATCTTAAAGTAAGCATGCTGCCTTAAACGCGGACCACAGCCTGTGTGTTGCATTGACCGTGCAGAATGACCCTAATGCCTCAGAATTTGGGCACCGGGAGGTTCTCCATTGAGAGAATTATCATCTATGCAAAAGCAATGAAGAGGCACAGGCTGTGTAACCGGAAGGAAACACCCACCCTGCATGGACTCTTGCATCTCAGGGCGGGAGTCGAGGGAGCCAGCAATAGCTAGGATGCAGAGTCTCAGGAGACCCCCAGCTCGGGCTCCTGCCCACATGAGCGACTGCCTGGGGCACTCTCTCTGGCCCCTACCTGCTCAAGGTTGCCATGGGAACAGAGTAAGATGCACCCATTCAAAACCTGAGTGTACTGAAGGATGCTATACACTGACACTGCCTGCACAACTGGGAGAACACTGCTGGGAGCAAGCGCCCCTGTCCCCCAGCTCTGCACCCTCAGTAGCCGATGGCTGCAGAAGGCTGACGTCCCGCCCTCTGCTGTGCTTGCACGCAGACTGACCCCACCCAGGAAGTCCCCAGGCCATGTTGCATCCTGCACCCTGGAACAGTGGGGCCGGGCACACACAGTGCCTGCCTCTGGGCACGATTTGATTTTCGTCAGAAGATGCTGAAGCCTTAGCAGACCCCGGCTGTGCTGAGGCTCCTGGGGAACATTGTTTTTTTTTTTTTTTTTTTTTAAGCAGAGCCCTAGATTGAGAGCAGCCATTCCCCTGTCCGGGTTATCAGAATCCCTGGGGTGTTTGTGGATGGACAAGAGGTGGAATCCTTAGGCTGTATCCCCCAACTGGCTGAATCTGGGCCTCAGTGTAGAGGCGGAACCCCGAATGCGCACCACACCCCACAGCCCCCCTGGGCCAGCGGGATCTGTTGACCCATGGTGCACCTCGGCGGCCGTTACCAAAGCAGCACGTCCTGTCTTTCTGTTGCAGGCATCATCTTCCAGAACTAACAGGCGGAAAAACGTTTGGTTGATTGGAGACCTCTGATGTGATAAAGCTTCGATAGAGGTCACGTGCTCGTGTCGCCTGCAGCAAGGGGTCACTCCGTGCTGGTGAAGGCGGCCAGGCAGGAGGAGCTGCGTTCACCCTGCCGAGCCTTTGGGAGCCACAGAGAACCGACACAAGTAGGCCAAGGCAGAAAACAGAGAGAAAGGCTTTGGTTCAAAGGGGCACCTAATTTTGGAACGCTGGGCAGCTTGCTTTTTCTTAAAGTGCTCCTGGGGTGGTGAAAAGGCCCTGAGGCAGGGCTGTGTGTGTGTTCCACCAGGGCCGCTGATGTGGCTGGAGGACTCGGGGCTCCTGTCCAGGCACCACGAGACAGGTCACACCCCGCCCGGATGCTGTGTCTGCCTGGGAGCAGCGGTAGCTGGAGCTCACTCAAGGTTCCATCCACAGGCCAGGCCCCACTTCTGACATTGCGGGAGGCTCACACACGTGTCTCTGCGAGCTGAAAGCAAGCACAGCTAGTGTGCACGTGGAGGGAGGCGGCGCTGGGTGGGCAGGCAGCGCTGGAGTGCCAGGGCCTTGTGGATGTTATTACAGAGGTCCCAGGAGGTGAGGAGGGTGTGATGCTATGGTTGGCGCATGATCTTCCCGCCAACTTTCCCATTCATCCCCTAAGCTCACAAGCCCGTGATACTGGGAAGGTGGGGACGTGAGCCCAGGGAGGTAGGTCCCTGTGCGAAGTCCTTACGTCCCTGGGGGCACAGTCTCAGGTACACCTGAGCGGGGTCCAGCCACGCGCTCTCTGCTTCCTGCTTCCCCACGTGAGCCCGCACCCACCTCACCAGAGAGGCCAGCCCCATCTCAGGAACTCAGAAACCGTGTGCCAGCTTTCACCAGTAGCTCGTCCTTGGTGTTGGGTGGTGCCGTGAGAAGTTGACCCATGCAGAGGTCCCGAGCAGGGGATTGTGATGTGGCTACAGGGAGGGACAACTTCGACGCTTACCACGATGTTCAAACCAGAGGTGTCGGGAGTTTGGGTCTGCGGTGTTGCTGGCCCTAGAGATGAAGACGCACACTTAAGAGGGCAAAATAAGGGACTTCCAGATCTTCTAATGACTCACGGGGGATATCTTGACTGTCATGATGCCTGCACCCCCCCCCCCAACGTTGCATCAATTGTCAGCACAGCCGAGCTGAAGTCTCTCCTGTTCCAGGTGCTGCGTGCATGGTTGCTGAACTGCCTGGTGACCCGACAAAGGCCTCTGGCCTCAGGATCACCAACCACCAGGCCCACACGAAGAGTTAAACCACAGCGGAAGGACACGCAAGGTATGAGAGTCCCAGGGGGCGCTCATGGCCTCGACAGATGGTTTCAGAGCCCAGCTTTCTAAAAATGGAGTTTGCTGGCCAGAAAGGGGTCACAGGGCCTTGGGTCAGGTTCAGATCCACAGTAGCAGGCACACGGGGTGGTTTGGGAGCATTGCTGTGGCATGGGGGGAGGGGCAGGCCAGCAAAGGGGCTGGGCCCCCAGTGAGGGGCCATAGGAGCCCAGGCTCCAGGCTAGGGGCAGTGGACAGCTGCCAGCCTAAGGGCCCAGCACGACTTCCCTGAAGATAGGAAAATGCAGACCTTCCTGAGCTCCAAGGCCATGGTGGCTCTCACAGCATGGTGTGAAGCGGTGGTGGGTCAATCACCCCAAGTGTCTGCCTTCCCCTGGCCCGAATCTGGCAAGAACTTTGTGCCTCATCCATCCACTATGAGGAACTTGCCAAGTTTGTGTCCTGTAGACAGAGAAGGTTCCAGGATCGATGGCACAGGGTAGAACCTGTGATTTCTCTTTATTGGGTAACTAAGAAGCACACAGCAGGCAGGAGCTGTGGAGAGCCAAAGAACTGCTCATGTTCGAAGTGTCTATCAGCACCTGGGAGTTCAGATTCGACTTCGGATGCTACGTTCCCATCGGCATAGGCTGTGTCCATTTCACAGTGGTGGTAAAATCCAGGCAGACCCCGAAGCGGGGATTTCTGAGTCATTTCGCCATGGGATGTCTCTGGTTACACACACTCATTCTGCATCAGCTAGGGCCAGGAGGGCACGACACCTGCTCACAGAACCCAGACACCAGCATGGTTCACTGCTTTTACCTTGACCCCTGACCACTTCTCAGCCTGTCTCAGCTTCTGTAGGTGTAGGAGCACTCTCACCCCCCACCCGCAGTGCTCACCCTTGTCCTGTGTTTGCAATGTGTTCCCCCCTCAGGTCGAATCCCATCCCGGAAGTCTGCCATCCTCGGAACACGTGGGAGCTACTCCAGGTGTGGCCTTCAAGGGCGGGGGACCCTGAAGAAGCACACAGATCCTGAGGGCGGAGGCCTCGGCAGAGCTGCCACACCCAGCGCAAGGTGAGGACCGCTTATGGGTTCTGGAATAATGAGGGTCCCTGCATTCCTCCCTGACATGCAGCAGCGGGGGCTCCGCTTTATTAAGGAGCCCTAATAATCCTTAGAGACCCCAGCACCTCCTAAGGCAGAGATGCCCTGGGGCCATGTGGAGGGTGGGGCCGCTTCCCAAAAAACCACCATGCAGGCGAGTTTGTGTCTGCGGCCCCTGGCATCCCCACCCATGAAGCCAGGAGTCGGGGAAGCTGGCAGAAGATGCCACACAACAGAGAAGTAGCTCAGGAGGGGCCGGAGGAGGGGGGTGACACGGAGAGACTCCGCCTCTGGTTCTAACCCAAATGCTTGCACCCCCTCCCAGCGGCGACGCCACACCGGAGACAGCACGGTGCGGTGCAGCAGCTGGTGTTGTGAATCAGGCCGTTGCCACTCCGAGAACGGCTACTTCACAACACCAGGGTCGCACCCCACCACGGGCAGCGCCGGAACCAGCAGCGGCATCGGCAGCCAGCCAGCCACGCCCTCCACCGGGGCGTTCCGAGGGCCACGTCCACCTGGCTCCAGACCCCAGCTCCTGCTGGGGCTCCACTGCAGGTTTCCCACTGCGTGCACAGAGCTGTGGGCCGCCCCTAAACTGAGCGTTTCCACTTAGGGCTGGGGCTTTAGGGACTTTGGTTCAGTGCTTGGCCATGGCAGCAAAGTGGAGGTCAGGGCGGACCGAGTTACAGCATGGCGATGTCAGGGGACACTCCTAGAAAGAGGAGGGCCATTGGTAGCCCCAGCAGGGGGAGGGTCCGGAGACGCAGGCTGGAGGGGTGCTGTCTTCAAGGCCAAGCACCCAGCCAAAGTTAGTATGTGAGTGTTTTCACGCCTCACAGCTCCTCCATGAGGCCTTAGCATTTTCTGGGGCCCAGGGGCAGTGCCCGAGGCAGAGCCCCTCTGTGGGTGATGTCCCTGCAGAGGCTGTCAGAGTGTCGGGCCGCTCTGGTTAACCTCGGTGCTGGCAGCGTTTGCTCAGGGCTTTGCTGCTGTCCCCTTAGAAAGCCCGGCAGAGGACAAAGCCAAGCCCTGCGCCAACACGGCCCAGTGTCAAGGTTACACAGACAGAGCCCACCTATCTCTCCCCTTAGGGTTCTGGGAGGTGAGTCGGGCGCTCCGGGTCTGTCACCCCCTCCCCATGCCACTGAAGGCATCTGACACATGGAGGTGGTTGTGCGTGGAGAGAAACACCTTCAGCCTAGATGCCAGCCGGTCAGCTCCTTGCAGTGGTGTCGTGGCCAGCACCCACTCCCAGAGCCCCAGCACCTGCCCTGCGAGGCGTGGTCCCAGGTAAATACCAAGTCCACAGCGCTCACACTATTGGGAACCGATGGTTCCTGCTGGTCCCGCCCCAGCCCCGCACAGCCACTGCACTACCTGCTGAGGAGCCAGGGCGACAGGGACGATGCTGAACGGGGATGTCTCCGGTCCTGGCTCCTGGAGACCCAGCAAAGCCCTCTGCATGGGATTCTTGAGCCAGGTACGCCAGTCTGTGTTCTTTATACCATGGTGGATTCTCACTGTGACTCTAGATGCTTCATCATGGAACCCAATTTAGAAAAATCTCCTAAAATAAATGGGGCCCAGTCCTCAGAGAGGCCGGGTGAGACCCAGAGGAAGTGCTCCTTAATGCTGCTGTCACGCTGGGGAATTCATTGGAGGTTTGTACTGTGGGCTGCAGAAGGCGACCCCGGGGCTGCCTGCCCTGTTCTTAGCTCTGGACAAAGCCCCACCCAGGCCATACACCTCTGACCACAGGGTGGCTGCTTTTCCCAGACACGGCGTACCTCCCTGGGACCAGGCTTCCCTGCCATTCTCCGATCTTGCAGAGCCTCTGCCCACAGACTGGATGGCACGTGGCCAGAAAGAAGAGTGCTCATGCTCGCGCATACACACACCTCTTCTCTCGGCTCCTGACTTAGCCCTAGGTTGAGACTCTCCATGTTGTCGCTTCCTTGGGGGCAGTTAGCCACGTTCCTAATGACAGCGTTCTCCCCAGAGATCCCCCCACCCCCGGCCCACCAGGAGCCTTAGTGACGCAGGGGACTCGCACCTGCCACCTTGTCCTTTCCAACTGCTGAGCTTGCTCAGGACTTCTGGCAACAGCTGGATGTGGAGAGGTAAGCCCCGAGCCAACACCCCCAACCTGCTGAGGCAGGAGCTGAGCTAACTCCAAAGTGGAGTCCCCGAGCCTGCCACCTGTGGCAGTGTGCCAAGTCCAGGGCGTTCACCGGATGCTGAAAGGGAAACTACTTTTTGGAATTTTCAGTCAACGCTCAGGCATTCTGGGCAGCGGAGCGGAGCCTGCCCATCTTCACCGGGATCAAGAGGCCCCGGGGGAGGCTGGGAGGTCAAAGTTACTTTCAGCCAGCGTTAGCGCAGTGCGTGACACATACCTGCCTTTAACATGAGCTCCTCCCTGCGCTGTTTTAAGGGGAGGGGCTAGAGGCCAAGGGGCGTTTGGTAACTTTCTCACCAGGGGTAGGGGCAGATTTGAGCCCCGGGGTGCCCCCAGGTGAGCGCGTGGGAACTAAGCACCTCTGTCCACCTGAGCAGTGGAAAGCCACCTCGATGACTGGCAGCTCCCTGTGGGGGAACCCTGGCCCTTACACAGACTGCCGCAGAGCCAAGTGCCAGGCAGCTGCTCTGTTCAAGTGTGAACATTCCTGTTCCTGGTGGGGTGGAGGGGGACGGGCTTGTCCTGGGGGGAGCAGCCACCACCCGGTTCCCTGGGCCCCGTGGCTCATCTTGCATGTGTTCCCCGTGCGTGCCACAAAGGCATTTTCAACCCTAGCATCAGTCTTGTTACGCCAGTGGCTTTTTCCCCCTAGTAATTTGGGGCAAACATTCCTACCCATGAGGCCATCGGGAAAGCTGCGGTGCCAACCCCACCCCCAACTCCCCAAGAAAATGAGGCACACACCTTGCTGAGATTCCAGGGACAGGGCTGAAGTCCTCAGCTTCCTGCCAGTCTTCGATGGAGTTTAAAGGGAGGGGACTAGGGAAAGCCTGCTCCGTCTTCCCCACCTCCGTCCCCTACCTGAGCCAAAGCGTTTGTTTGAAGCTGTGATTTTAAAAGGCACTGACACAAAAAAAGTTTTAATTTTTTTCTTAAAGGGCCAAGAATAAATACAAAACCTACCTTCTGCTGTGGCCTCTGGCTGCCTGGCACACTGGTTCCCTTCTGAGACTTGAACCATCGCCCCTCAGTTTCCAGGACTTGGCCCAGGGGCCAAAAGCAGGGAGACCTATGACAGAGGCACAGCAGAAGATGAGCCAGGGGTCCCTAAGTCTAGGAAACCCTGTCTTCCTGCTGGGACAGGTACAAGGACCAGGGCCAGGCACCTGCTGCCAGTCCATCTGAGCTGACCCCAGACAGCATGGGTAGGACCACCCTCCAGACCTCCTACCTCCCCCCAACCGCAAACCCCAGAGCCTGGGGGGTGGATTACAGACCCTGCTGCACTGGACCCCAGGGTTGCTCTGTGGGCCTCACTAGACTGGAAGAGGTTGTGTGTGCGCATGCGCATACATGCATTTATTTGCATGTATATTGTCTTGTATGTGATTGATTTGATACTCTTTCGTCTTTCCTATCCTGTCTACCCCAAAATGCTCAGAAGCACAATAGAAAATCCCACTGTTCCAGCAACACGGTGTTCAGATACAAAGATGGCAGATAAAACACCGAAGTCCCTTCTCAGCCTATCCCCGAGATAACCAGCGCATCCGTTTTACAGCCTGGGCACTTTTGAGGTCACGGAAGTCACACACACTTCGAGATGCCTCAGGCAGGTGAACCATGAATGCTTCCTTGCTCAGGTTACCCTGGTGGGCGCAGGGCGGGAGGCCACACCCATCAGTGCAATGCACGTCCCCACCTCTGACCACTGGAGCACGCGAAATGGGCAAGGCTGGCCTCCCGTCCTTGAACCAAGTCAGCTCCCAAGGCCCTGACCGCGCTGCCCGCCCTGCCCCAGGGCCACACGCAACCTGCCCTGTCCCCTGTGTCCCTCACCCCAGCTACCCCTGAGGGCCCTGCGGAGACTTGAATGAGTCTCTTCCAGGTGAGACCCCGCCCTCCCTGCTATGACGTCATCCACATAAGCTCCTCCCCTTTCCTACACCTGCGGTCTCGTCTCTTCCTCCTGGACTGGCAGCTGCCCCAGGGGTGGCGATTGCTGTCTGCCTTGTCAAGTGCTCTAGCCCAGCACCCAGAGCACCCATGGGCACTCAGCAAGGGTTCCCTACGGCTGTGCTGGGGGAACAAGTGTGGGACCCATGCTTGCCAAAGCTGGGAGCCCGGCCGCCTTCTGTCCGCTTGGCCAGGACGCCCTCTTCTGAGAGGGTGGCCCCTCTCAGCTGCTGGCACGTATCTCAAGCTCCAAGAAGCTGAGAGTGCTCTTGTCCACTTCCCACCGGGGGAGGCCTCTTGCTTGGTGGGTGAGGAGCAGGGGACGATGCCTTCCGTGGCAGAGGGGGGACACTGACACCCGGAAGCTGACATGGACAAACCCTGGAATTGGGAGCTGCCACACACACAAAAGGACTCCCGGGGCTGGCTTCCCCGAGGCCCAGGGCAGATGAGACTCCTCGGCCACGCCCCCGCATTGCCCTGCACTTCCAAACGCTGCAGAGACACAAAGGGCAATTGCGAAGTTTTGGGGGCCCCTCCTCCAGCCCTGTGTCAGCTTCAGCAGCACAGGGGCTGGGCCTGGGGTGCTCTCCCCTTCCCCAGCACCTGGCACCATGCCGCGCCCACTGTCTGTGCCTTGAGGCACGGCTGACTTGGTGTGTCTCTGTGCTGAACACGTGGGATGCTCACCACGTGCTCCCTGCCATTACAGGACATGCAGGGCCTCCCCCGAGAACCACCAGATTCAGATGCTAGTGTTTATAGATGGTACCAGCAGGCTGGGATGCGAGGGCCTTCTTAAGTACACCCCTATGTCCACAGACACAGGGTGAAATAGAGTGGTCTAGGGTCTACAGGAGAGACCCTCACCTTGTGACTTGCAGCCAAGAGCATTCATTTGTAACTGGAACTGTCACATCAGAATGACTACCTACAACAAGACGTCCAGATTTCACTCAGTGCCTCCAGGATGCCACCCAAAGCCTTCTGCTCCCACCATCCTTACTGCCTCCCGGTCCCAAGAGGACTGCTGCCGTTCCAGTCATCACCTGTACAGTCCAGGAGGAAGTCCAGGGAAGTGGAAAGGCCGGTACTATCCCCAATCTGTTTACCAGGAGACACAGCTTTCCCAGAAGTTTCCACCTCCTTCCAGGCCTCATCAGCCAGAGTTCTATCACCTGGTTACCACTAGCTGCCAGAGGTGTTAGAAGGGTGAGGAGTCGCCCAGAGAGGAAAGGAAACCTGGTGGGGCACGGCGGCCGTGGGATGGGCCAGGCTGCAGACTGGGCCGGCCTGCAGTGTTGCCCGAAAACCACGTCAGGTGTTCTTTAACGGGGGGTGGAGGTAGGGTTCTGATCACAAAAGCAATGCATGTGGACTGTAAAGCTTTGAAAAGGATTTTACACCTTTGTAAATCTGTCGGTCTTTGGAAAGGATGGACAGGCCCCCCTGTCCCAGCACGCAGGAATAAGCACAGCTTCTTCCTTGACGTCCGTGTACTCGGAGTTGCCCTGGCATTAGCTCCCGCACTCGGAATTATGGCAGATCTTTCCGAATCATTAACTGTTCTTTGCAGAATCCCATTTTAGGCTCCTGTGTTGCGCTCCATGGAAGAGGAAACCATGACTTTTGTTGAGTCCCTTGGTGCTGCACATTCTGATGTTTATAAAACGGGGGGTGGGGGGGCGGGGGGCCGAGCAACACCAGAGCAGCCACGTCTTTGGTCCAGGAATGCGTCGGGAGGATAATCCCGAATGTGCCCATGCTGCAGAGCCAGACAAGGCGAGGACCCTTGCAGGTTATCAAGGAGACGGGGCCAAGAGCTCTTGGGGACGGGATGCGCCGTAGGCCCCGAGTCTGGACAGTCCCCGCTCTAGGGGTCACCCTGAGGAGACACCTGCTTCTGCCTCAGAACCACATTGTCACCCAAGGCTTCTCCCACCACCATTTCTGGAACTGGTCCTGGGAGATGGGGCTCGGGGCGAGGCTCCCTTCCCAGTCGTCATGGCTGCCACAGTGTGTCCCCGACCACTCTCTAGGTTGAAGCTCTGACCCCCTGGTGTGACTATATGTGGAGACAGGGCCTTTCGGGGGGTAATTACAGTTGCATAAGGCCATAAGGATGAGACCCGTCTCCTGCAGGACTAGTGTCCAGGTAAGAAAAGGAGCAGACGTGCAGGGGGAAGACCAGGCAAGGTCAGGGTGAGGCAAGGACCAAGGAGAAACCAAGTCTACAGGAACATGGGAAATAAAGTTCTTTAGTTGCACTGGCTGAGTCTGTGGTATTTTGTCACTGTAGCCCTAGCAAACATGCTGTGGACACCCACCTATCATCACAACCTCTCCGAGTTTCCCACGGCCATGATGGACACGTCTCTGCATGCTGACTGCATCCACCCCAGCCCAACCCAGCTCAGCACCTGACACCTTTTGGGGTGCCTCAGAACCCTGTACAGCCTCCTCCCTAAAGTTCATGGGAAACAGAATTCTAAGATAATGTCCCTTGCCATGAACTTTAAGATCCCATGTGTGTAAGGGGATCGGTGCAGATCTGCCAGGAAGTACCTGGGAGCCCACAGCGCATGCGTGTGGCTGCGTTTCCCCAGTGAGAACTGGAGTCTGAATTGTCCCAGCATCCTGCACAGCCCTCAGGTGGGCCCAGCAGGATGGCGTCCCAGCCGCCCACTGATGCCCTTGATCGGCCCCTCTGCACCCCACCCCAGACTCCTGCTTCCTGGGGTGTCTCCTCCAATAAAACTGCCTTTGATGGACTCCCGGGCAGAGGCAGCTGGAGGGTATTTTGTTCTTGGGATTGGAAAGATGGGGGTTTTGAAGAGCAATTTTGAGTTCGTATCAAAACTGAATAAATACAAAAGATTTCCCATGTACTTCCTCCCCACCACCACCACCACCACCACCCCATTCTTGGGCTCCCCTGTTATCGGCACCCCACTGCCACCAGAGGAGCACATTTAGTGTAACTGATGAGCTACACTGGCACATCGCCATCACCCAGTTGAGCGTTCCTTTGGACAAATGTCCAGTGACCTTTATCCACCAGCAGAATGGCGCACACACCAGCTTCACAGCCCCGAGTACCTTCCGTGCTCTGCCTGTTCCTCCTCCTCCCAGATCCCCTGGCAACTTAGTTTTGCCTTTTCCAGAATGTTCCATGGTGGCAATCACAACAGTCTATAGCCATTTCACCTTGGCTTCATAAACCATAAACCGGAATGGGCATTCAGGTCCCTCCATGTCTTTTCATAGCCAGGTAGCTCAAGATGACCTTGGGTTTGGCAATGACTTTCAGATACAACACCAAAGTCAGGATGCATGGAAGGAGTGACAATAATTGATACACCATTGATAAGCTGTTGAGAATGAAATGACAGGCCCCAGCCTGGGAGAGAGTATCTGCAAAATAGGTATCTGATAATGGACTGATAGCCCAAATCTACAAAGAACTCTTAAAAACTCAACAATAATAAAACAATCCCATGGAGAACTGGGCCAAATATCTGACAAAATGCCTTACCAAAGATAGATGGGGGTACTTCAAAGCATTTGGGGGGAGGCATTTGGCGAAGGGGCTAGAAGCCACCATAGACACCCTCATTCCGTATCTAAGAACCAGCGCTGGGCCCTGGAGCCTGCACAGCAGGAGCGATGGCTCCAGTGAGTGGGTCCTTACCACCTACACGGAACATTGGATTCTCAGCTGCTGGCCTCAGCAGAGCCGAGCCCCGGCTGTTGCAGGCATTGGGGGAGTGACTCAGCAGATAGGCCGTCACTCTCTCTCTCTCTCTCCACCTTTCAAACACAAAATTTAAGTTCACAAAAGGTACAAAAATATTTTGGTGCAAAAAAGTTTTAAAATTCATGCATAATTGTCCTTAGAACACACTTTCCATGAGCTTTCTGAAGACCCTTCATCTGCATGGGTTTTAGAATTTTTTTTTTTTTTTTTGCACCAAAACACACTTTTTTAAAGTCCATTCTCCATGAACTTTTCGAGGTGCCTTTGTACAGATGACAGATGGGTACCGGACAGGACACTCTGTGTCACCCGTCATCACAGAACTGATGATAACATACTAACTGCACATGGATGACAATGGCCCATCCCAGAAGGCTGGCACCACCGATGCTGGTGAGGATGTGTGGCCACGGGAGCCCTCGCTCACTGCTGGTGGGAGCGCGGATCAAGCAGCCACTCTGGAAAACCGTTTGTTTCTTACAAAGCCAAGCGAACTTACGCTACGGGCTGAGAATCGCACTCCTTGGTATTTTACTCAAAGGAGCTGAAATCTGTCCCCACAAAAGTCTACACACAGATGTTTATGGCAGCTCTATTCTTCACTGCCAGCTCTCAGGAGCAGTGAGGAAACAGATAAATAAACTGTTAAGTCCACACAAAGGAGTAGACTCCACAGCTACCCAGAAAAACCGTTTCAGCCCGAAACAGGTACACGCGCAGCTGAAGTACCCAGCCAGAACACACACTCGGGGACACTGAGCCGTCACTGAAGCTGCCGACTCCTCTCACGGGAGGAGTGGCAGCTGGAGCAATGGCCCCTGCTATGGGGCACCGAGGCACCAGCCAGAATTGAGTTCAAATCCCAGCTCCCACTCTCAGTAGCAGGGTGCTCTTAGGCGGTGAACAAGCCCTGGCTGGGGCTCCCTCTCATCAGTTGTGGGGGTGGACACAGCCCTGGCTTCACACCACCAGTGAGAGGCCTGAACAAGACACCAAAAACAGAGGGTCTGGTACACGGAGCGTGCTCACCTCCCACGCAGGCCAGACTGGCTGCTGAGCCACAAGGAATGCCGGGTAGCCACGGAGAAGGAGCATAGCAGAGCACTAGGGCTTGGCCAATCCCATCCAGCACTTCTCCAAGGGGAACTGTCTGTGTAGGAGCGCCCCGCTGCCCTGGCAGAGACCAGCGGATCACTCCTGCGGGTGCTCCCTCCTCCTCCTCCTCCCTCCTCTTCTCATCTCTGCCAGGCATCCTCTGCCCCCAACCTCCTTTCGTGGGTCCCCACCCCACCTCTCTTCAGTTGGGTCCTCTGGCAATCTGATGCTAACCCACCTTTCCCTTCCTCCCGCGTTCCTGCACCCACCTACGAAACAGCAGCAACAGAGACAGGATTTCATAAGGCTTCATGGGTGGCTCTGTAGATTTTTAATCCCAGCAGGATCCTTCCCCCAAAGGCATCTGTACCCGTCAGGGCTTCTCCGTTGCAACCAACAGAAACAAGAGCCTTGTGAATTTAGTAGAAGATATAGAAATGCATTGCAATGCTACGGGATACTTGGAGAACTGGAGGAAAAGCAGAGGAAGCAAGCTCTGACCGACGAGGGTCACCGTCTTCTGGAATCAGTACACCCTTATTTTTGGAACACCACTGTTGGTGTCAGTTAGCTCTGTTGAGATTTTCTGTCCTTGTCGCATCCAGGTCAGGGTTCCAATTCCAAGGAGAATGTGTCTAACTGGCCCCGGAGATGGTACACAACTTGGGAAGTGACTGTTCTTCCCAAACGGCCAGACCCGCTGACAGCATCCACAGCACTGCCAGGGACACCTGTCATTGCAAGGTGAATGGATTTGCCTGGGGCTGACTCTACCCTCAGAATCCCACAGAACCTGATGCAGAAATGACATATGCCCACTCAGGTGTCACACGTGGGTGGCAGGAGCCCAATGACTTGAGGCATCACTGCTGTGTCTCAGGGTTAGCAGGAAGCTGGAATCAGCATGCAGAGGCAGGTGTCAAACACGAGCAGTCCGATCTAGGATAGCAACCGATGTCTTAACTCCTACAGCAAACACACATCACTGACGGAAGTTTCCTGGTTTCATATCATCGTACCTAATCTTAGGATTTTTTGTTCTCTAAGTTAGCAAATGGTTGAGACAAAAACATACACTTTCAAAAACAGTTGTTTGCAATGTAAGAAGTGGCCTCCCTTTCCTCCCAAAGAGAATCCCTTCCCCACCCAGAATCCCCTCCCCAACAGCCTCAAGAGTACCAGTGTTGGGGCAGCACTGTGGCATAGTGGGTAATGCCTCCGCCTGCAGGGCCAGCATCCCTCATGGGCACTGGTTCTAGGCCCAGATGCTCCTCTTCTGATCCAGCTCTCTGCTATGGCCTGGGAAAGCAGTAGAAGATGTCCCAAGTCCTTGGGTCCCTGCACCCACATGGGAGACCCGGAAGAAGCTCCTGGCTCCTGGCTTCGGATCAGCCCAGCTGTGGCCATCTGGGGAGTGAACCAGTGGATACAAGACCTCTCTCTGTAATTCTACCTCTCAAATAAATGAACTATTTTTTTAAAAAGGGTACCAATGTCATCATCAGGATTTATTGAGACTTATAAAGGCCATCTCACATCCCTTTCACTTTTCAGATTAAGCTCCTCACCCCAACACAAAAGCACTTGCTATGGGCGGGGAAATCCATTGGGTGCACACAGGGCTGACAGTGTGTTCTGCATGAGCAGGAGGCCCCCCAGCCGGAGGTGTGGTTTCCTGCCCATTTCTTCTGGGTAGGCAGAGTGGACAGTGAGACAGAGAGAAAGGTCTTCCTTTTGCCGTTGGTTCACCCTCCAATGGCCGCCGCAGCCGGCGCCTGCAGCCGGTGCACCGCGCTGATCCGATGGCAGGAGCCAAGTACTTATCCTGGTCTCCCATGGGGTGCAGGGCCCAAGGACTTGGGCCATCCTCCACTGCACTCCCTGGCCACAGCAGAGAGCTGGCCTGGAAGAGGGGCAACTGGGACAGAATCCAGCGCCCCGACCGGGACTAGAACCTGGTGTGCCGGTGCCGCAAGGCAGAGGATTAGCCTAGTGAGCCGCGGCGCCAGCCAGAACCACCTTTCAACACGGAGGGGAGCTGCCTGCCAGTGATCACGACACCCTCCCTGAGGACTTCTGTGGGTTTGCTGCTGCTGTTCTGATTACACAGAGCTCAAACTGGAAAGGCAGAGTTAATGCCCTTGGGAAGAGCCCTTGACCAATGACAGATGGGGATTTGCCAGCTCAATGAGGGGGAGTCCATGCACTACATGGTCTCCCCAGGTTCCTCGGGGGCATGGAGTCCATTTGCCTGCAACAGTCACTTTCAACAAAACGTAACCTTTCCTGGTACCTTCCCTCCCAGTCGCACTCCCCACCACTACTGGTATCTCCTTGGCTCACTTCCCAAATCAAAACGCCTTGCCCCTAAGTCCCCGTCTCAATGTCTTTCCCTTAAAGTAGACCCCGAGACGA